CATGTGGATGTTTTTTGTGCCGTGTGAGATTGGAGCTCAGACTGTCATCTACTGTGCCGTGTCAGATGAAGCTGCCAAACACAGCGGGGGGTACTTCGTCGACTGCCGACCTGCAGTGCTCCGTCCTTTTGCAAAAGATGCAGGTGTGGCCAAAAAGCTGTGGGAAGCCAGTGAGAGACTGGTGAAGCTAGCTTAACTGAGGAATCTGAAGGCACTTTTGAAATGACCCCACCCCTTCTTGTCTTTGTCTATATTATTTAAGCAGATTTTGTTATGTTTTCGTGAACATTTTGCTGTGTAAATTCTCTTTTATGTACTTGTGTATTTCAAGTAAAATACTTTATTTTACAAACACAAATTTTTGTGGAAGACTTACTCTGCCTTATTTCTCTTGCATTTGTACATGAATATTCATTTAATGAATCAGTGACTTCATGGTTTAAACACTTGATTTATAGCATAATCTATGTGGTGATTGTTCAAACAGGACGGGTTATATTTTGATAAAGCAACCACAATAGTATGAGATATCTATCTGTATTAAAGGCTCTTCATAGGGAGTGTTACAGTTTTTAAATTGTTAATGAATCAAATTGCACCCTGGGCTGTTGAGAAGATGTGGTGTCAGTTTTCCTCCAGGGAAGCTAATTTGAGTACTCTCAACTTTGCTGAATGGAGCTCCAGACCATAAAAACACAAACACTGTAAATCAAACAAAGAGATATGTAGCAAGTCGATTGAAAAGGATATTTCAAATATAAGAAGCAAGTGGTGACAACACTGGAGAAAGACGGATGAAGAATGGTGCTTTACTGCTGTGGAACAAGAACAAGCTTGTGCACGCATATAAAGCAGTCTGACCACCTAAACAATATCAAGGCTGATTCACTAACTGTCATTTCTTGTTTATATTATATTTAATTAGCAAAAACTCATCTGAATTTGTGTGGACATCATCACTCTGTGTTTATATCCACCAGGCAAACCAAAGCTAACACTTCCCTTACAGATTGTTTTAGGGGTAAATTCACCATCAGTTTGTTAACATTTAGAGTTTTTTCATTTCTTGTTTCTTGGTAAAATGTACTTTAAGTTATTTTTTGTTTAGAAGTAGCTTTTTATCCATACATGCACTGCATATGAGAAGCTTGGAAGCACTTAGGCCTTAAAACTTTTGTTGGTTTTTAAAAAGCAAAAAATGCCTATATTGGATCATATTACCAGGCAATAAATACAGTGGTAAGTTAGTGTATGTTAAATTCACTTTTTAAAAAGGGTGATGGGGGAGCACATAGAAAATCATCCAATTTATACAACTGGGAAAGAAATTAGTAACACAAACCAAAGGGAAATACATGAGGAGTCTGTTGTTTATTAAGATGCTGCATGCAGCAAAGATCAGGATATTAAAGCTGTCAGTACTAAAACTAAAACCAAACATTTTATCAAAATGAATTTGCAATTCACTTTGCATTCATTATTTTCATCACAGGTATCTGTGCTGTGACAAAGTAGGTTTTCCACATTTTTTCATTTCATCAGGTCTGATGGGAACATTGCACAGGTTTTCAGCCTCATCTAGTTCTGTCAAAAGTACTAATAAAAGCAAAGGACAGAGTGTTTTCCATTAATAATGAATAAGAGAAACACTGTCAGCGCAACAATAACTAAACACACTGACTGTGGCAGCCCTCACTAACAGTGGTTAGCAGATGATCTCACGAAGAGTGATTGTGAGCGCTGGTCTTATGTCATCACAGACCTGTTACACACAGGTGCCGCCAATGCGTGTAGACACCACGGCTCCGCCCCAAGGTGGAAAAACAGGTACAATGAATTCACATTTTTACATTTAAAGGCATGTGGTCCTAAACTTTGATTCAACTGTAAAACTACCTGTTTCACTTTTTTTTAAAATGCCCAAATGTTTTGTCTCACTCCCGTTTCTTCTTGTTGTAAGTTGAAGCTCTACTTGAAGCCTTGTTAAGATTCAACCATGCAAAATAAGATTTTTTGCCACTTTTCAAGTGGTCTTAAACTTTTGATTGGGACTGTATATTATTACATATTATCTGGATGTTGTGTTCAGTTTGACCAGTTTATCAGTCCTGTCTCCTGATATTATGAATCTTAGTAAGAGTTTTACTGGAA